CAGACTGGAGTGCAGTGGCCGCTCCCGGCCACCGCAGCCTTGACCTGCTGGGCTCCGGCGATCCTTCCGCCTCAGCCTTCCAAGTAGCTGGAACTACAGGCGCGCGCTACCACGCCCGGCTAATTTTTTGATTTATTATAGAGATGAGGTCTCACCAAGTTGCCCAGGCGGGTCTCGAACCCGCGGGCTCAGGCAATCCACTCACCTCAGCCTCCCAAAGGCGCGGGATTACAGGCTGAGCCACCGAGTCCGGCTTCTACACATTTTCAAGGTTCAGCTCTCATGCTATTTCTTCCCTGAAGCTTTTTCAGAACTCTCTCAGGTAGAATTAATTAAATATCCTCCTTTGAACACCCGCTAAGTACCATAACACTTCTATGGCATTTAGATTATTTACACAAATTCCATACTTTCTACTAGCCGAGGCAATGTTTGAATCTTATTAATCTTTGTACCCCTACGGCCTGGCACAGTGCCTGATGCATTCTGCTTAACACTTTAAAGAGATTGCTTCCCACCCCTATGGTAGTTAATGCTTTTGGGATCTTCTGTTCAGCTCTCAGGGACAGCACCTTTCTTGCTCCTCTGTGTCTCGCTGTCTTTTCCTCCAATCCTGAGGCTCATGATTCATGCCCAAACCCTGCCTTGTTATTCCTTTGCTATCCTAGCACCCATTTCTCCCTCAGTGTCCTCATCCTCACATTGGCCTGAACTTGTCCCTGCCCATACTACCTGGACCCTTGGGCTTCCCTAGTCCAGCACCCTCTCCCACCTTCCCTAGACCTGTAGCATCCGACTCCTTCAGTGAATCCCCCAGCCCCATCCTGACTCTATCCTGCCGATACTGGTCCAGCCGCTCCTGTTCGTCCATGCTGGTAACAAGGTCCACCAACAGTTGGAGGCCTCGCATCCAGATCTGGGCCTCCTCAACACTGTTGGCCACCAAGTCCAGGTTGGAGCTGCGGCCATGGAAGACAATGGTGAAGCCCTGCTCCAGGGGGAATTCCTCTGCCAGGCTGCGCAGCAACTCAGAATCATGGCCCTTACGCACTGTCTCCACATCAGAGATTGAGACTGCCAAAGAAGAAGCAGGTGGAAGCACTGAGGAAGGGAGTCCAACAAATTGCAGGAGCTAAGGACCCCCTTCTCCATGAAGCCACAGAAAGGAGGAGCCCCAGCTGAATCCAAAAAAAGTGTTAGCACAGAGATCCTGAGATCCACACGAGCCATTGGTGTTTTCATTTTTGTTTTGTTTTTTTTTTTGAGTTGGAGTCTCACTCTGTCACCCAGACTGGAGTGCAGTGGCCGCTTCCGGCCACCGCAGCCTTGACCTGCTGAGCTCTGGTGATCCTTCCGCCTCAGCCTTCCAAGTAGCTGGAACTACAGGCGCGTGCTACCACGCCCGGCTCATTTGTTTGTTTGTTTTGTTTTGTTTTTGTTTTTAGCCATTGGTGTTTTCAAAGGCAGCATGGCGATGGCAAGGGGCCTGTGCTGGGAGTGGCAAGACCTGGTTTCAGCCCCAGCTGGCAGCATGACACAGAGCAAAATATCTTTACCCCTTAGTGTCCTCATCTGAAATAATGAATGGTCCCTTTCCATGCCAGTCCTGATGGCGATTATAGAAGAACTGATGGGGATGACAAATGGAAACACATTTGAAGGGCAGAAGCAGTTACACCAAAGCATTATATGCCCAAGTTCAGTTCTCTCATTCCAGGTTTGAGGGCTTTTTCTTTCCAGATGTCTAAAAGGGAGCCAGAGAAATTCTTCTACCTCCTTACCTGAGCCGGATGTGGTATGGATTATGAGCTTTAATTATGTCTCTAAAGCGACTCTCTTAGATGTGTCCTGTGATCAAGTTTTTAGAGGTGTCATAAAGATTTTGGCCAATAGAATATACACTGTTATGATGCATTTCTGAGATTAAAAAATTTTCTCATAATGGCTAAGAATTTTTTTTTTTCCCTGAGTTGGAGTCTCACTCTGTCGCCCAGACTGGAGTGCAGTGGCCGCTCCCGGCCACCGCAGCCTCGACCTACTGGGCTCCAGCGATCCTTCCGCCTCAGCCTTCCGAGTAGCCAGAATTACAAGCATGCGCTACCATGCCCGGCTGATTTTTTGATTTATTGTAGAGATGAGGTCTCGCTGTCCAGGCGGGTCTCGAACCCGTGGGCTCAGGCAATCCACTCACCTCAGCCTCCCAAAGGCGCGGGATTACAGGCTGAGCCACCGAGCCCAGCTGCTAAGAATTTATTAAATGCATCCTGGAATTAGATCCCATGATAACTGTTTTACATACTAATTCATTTAGTCCTTGTAACCTACTAGGCAGATATTGTTTAATCACCATTTTACAACTAAACTGAAGCTTAGTTTAATTACGAAATAACTTGTCCAAAGCCAATCAGCTAGAATGTGGCAGAGCCAGGACTTTAATTCAGGCAGGCTAACACCTGAGATCATGGTCTTAATATAATAATAGTAACAACAAGATATGACCTATGATTTATTGAGCCTTACTATGTGCCAGGACTTTTCTCGGCCCTTTATATGCAGTAACTAATTTAATCCTCTTGAGAGCTTTAAGAGGCAAACTGTTATGACCTCAGGCTCAGACATAGCCACAAATAGGACAGCACAAAGACACACTCTGGTAAGGCCCTGGTCCCTCCCCTGCCCTCAGGCTGCCGGACTCCTCAGGGTCCTATTCACCCATGTGCCCACCCCTAGCTATCCAGGCCACTCACAGCTGGGCTTGGCACTGCTCCTGGCCTGCCGTGCATGCCAGACTGTCATGCCGTCGTTCTGAAGTCTGAAGTATCTCAGCTTCTTCCAGCTTTTGGACCTCACCTTGCGCATCAGCATGCCTTCCTGCATCAGCAGCAAGTCCTGATCGGTGGTCAATCCTGGCCCAGGAAAAGCAGGGGCTAGGTAGCCAGCAGGGCAGGTAGAATGCCCAGAAAGAGCTCTGGAACAGGGGTCCAGCCCCCTTCCCTTCCCTGGGCTGTCCCCCAAACCCCTCCTCCTGCAGGAGTACTCACGGTCTTGCAACAGGGATGCCATTACTCACTGCTCCACCAGCTGGCAACAGAGTCACCTAAAGGAGCAAGGAGGAGCAAAGGGTTTTGAGTGAATCTTGGAGATCAAAGGAGGAAGAAAAGGAAACGAGCGTTTCCGGAGTGCCTACTATGTGTCAGGCACTTCATTTATGTAGTCTGCCGCTATTTTTACTTTCCTAATTTGAGTTTGGTGACACCGAGGCTTAGATAAACTAAGAAGCCTGCCTCAAATTACATAAGGATCAGAATTTAAACCCAGATTATGTCTGATCCCAGAGCCTCCATTGTTTTCCATTGCTATCTCCAAACAGGGCTAAGTCAAAGTGTCTGCAAAACACCTCCTTGCTACCCAATACCCTACAATCTACTAGGTAACCTCATGCCACACTTTGTTGACTCTCCATCCTCTCATTATTAGAAACCATCATCTTGCTGGCCTCTCCCTTTCAGAACCTGGAACCTCTTCACACTCTAGACTACTCTTTTCCATGTGGAATCATCCCAGCTTCCCTACTCTGGGAACCCTCTCCACACTCCCATGTAGACTGTTCAGCTCCTGCAGGACTACAGCAGAGTATTTCTTTTTTCCTCTTTTACACTTAGTTGTCTTCTTCTACTGTCAGGTGGTAAGGCATATTTCACACTTTTTCATAGCACTTACGAAAAAGCCTCAGAGGTGCATTTTCTTTTTTTTTTTTTTGAGTTGGAGTCTCACTCTGTCACTCAGACTGGAGTGCAGTGGCCGCTCCCGGCCACTGCAGCCTCGACCTACTGGGCTCTGGAGATCCTTCCGCCTAGCCTTCCAAGTGGCTGGAACTACAGACGTGTGCTACCACGCCCAGCTAATTTTTTGATTTATGGTAGAGATGAGGTCTCACCAAGTTGCCCAGGCGGGTCTCGAACCAGCGGGCTCAGGCAATCCACTCACCTCAGCCTCCCAAAGCATGGGATTATAGGCTGAGCCACCAAGCCCGGCAGAACTGCATTTTCAAATTTCCTTTACCTACTAAAAAATGTGCAACACCTTTGAGATACATGCTGTCCAATTTAGGACCTGGTTAAGTTGTCCTAATAGCTGACAACAAACTTCTTTGAAAAGAACTAGAAGATCTGATATAGCCACACTGATTCTAGCTCTGCCACTAGGAAATACTTGACTTTTTAATTTTTATTTTTGTAGAGATATGGCCTCGTTGTTTTGTCCAGGCTGGTCTTGAACTCCTGAGCTCAAGCAATCCTCCCACCTTGGCCTCCCAAATTGCTAGGATAACAGGCATGAGTCATTGCATCTGGCCCTAGAAGTACTCAACTCTTGCCCAGATCACGCTGAAATTAATAAAGCTCATGAAACATAAACTTCTATGCTTTTATATAAGCAAAGAAGCTATACTTGAATAGAAACATGTTACTTCTTTCAAGGTAGGGTATCACTACTTGAAAAATATGTTATGCTCCTTAATTTAAAATGTTAAAAAAATTTTTTTTTGAGTCAGAATCTCACTCTGTCTCCCAGGCTGGAGTGCAGTGGCACACTTACGGCCACACAGCCTCCACCTGCTGGGCTCAGGTGATCCTTCTGCCTCATCCTTCCAAGTAGCTGGAACTACAGGCACATGCTACCATGCCTGGCTAATTTTTTGATTTATTGTAGAGACAAGGTCTTGCCAAGTTGCCCAGGCTGATCTCGAACCCCTGGACTCAGGCAAACTTCTTGCCTCTACCTCCCAAAGTGCTGGGATTACAGGCGTAAGCCACTGCACTCACCCTAAAAAGTTTAAATTTCTAAAAAAAAAACTTAAAAAGAATCTGTAAAGCAATCATTCAATTAGTGTACCATTAAAACATTTTGCAGTTCAACTCACTATATTTTATAGATGAAAAACAAGAAGTCCAGAAATGTGATGTGACTTGTCTGAGGTCACACAGCATATTAGTGCTCCCTCTCTCTTTGATGGGAAGGACCCAATAAAGTCACCCAGGAGTGACTAAGTCTTGAGAAAGCATGTAGGGAGGTCACTGGATATATAGCTTCCCTGACTACAGGAACTAGAGAAGGCTTTCTTTCTTTCTGTTCTTTTTTGAATCAGAGTCTCACTCTGTCATCCAGGCTGGAGTGCAGTGGCACGCTCACAGCCACTGCAGCCTTGACCTGCTAGTCTCAGGCGATCCTTCCACCTCAGCCTTCCAAGCAGCTGGAACTAGAGGCATGCACCACCATGCCCAGCTATTTTTTTATTTATCACAGAGATGGGGTCTTGCCAAGTTGCCCAGGCTGGTCTCGAGTCCCTGGGCTCAGGCAATCCTCTCGTCTCCACCTCCTAGAGTGCTGGGATTACAGATGTGAGTCACTGTGCCCAGCTGAGAAGCCTTTCTATTTTTTTTGGGGGGGGGGAGGTTGGAGTCTCACTCTGTCACCCAGGCTGGAGTGCAGTGGCACGCCCAGGGCCACCACAGCCTCAACCTGCTGGGCTCAGGTGATCCTTCCACCTCAACCTTCCAAGTAGCTGGAACTACAGGCACGGGCCACCATGCCCGGCTAATTTTTTTAATGTATTGTAGAGATGAGGTCTCACCAAGTTGCCCTGACAGGTCTTGAACCCGTGGGCTCAGGCAATCCTCTCACCTCGACCTCCCAAGGTGCTGGGATTATAGGTGTAAACCACCACACCCAGCTGAGAAGTCTTTCTAAATGGGTAACAATGTGTAGGTATCCAGAGTAAGAAGCCAAGGTTGGGAAGTAGTCTCTCAGGAAACAGTTCCAGGAAGAAAGTATATTGCTGGCTTGGGCTGAATAAGTGTGCCTAGGGGAAGACCATACAGAGGGAAGAAGAGATCCAATGTATTCCTGAGAGACAGAAAAGCATCACTGCTTTTCTGGGTAGGGATGCACAGTTTGGAATCTGAGGTTTACAGAAGCTATATGAAGACTGAAGTAGAAGGTAACAGGTCTCTCTTAAATTTCTTAGGTCCTCAGACTCCAGGAGAGTGAGGCTGGCCTGGGGCTGAAGTCTAATCTCCCTTGCCAAAATTCTGCCTTATCTTTTCTTTGAACCTTAGCTCCACCTCTGTGGCACAGGGACTCTGGAGTGGACTTTGGGCCGACAAGAAGATGGAATTACCTTCCCTAATACCTGTGTCCAGGAATGTCACAATGTTGTCTTGAAACATGGGAAGCCTGAGAACAGAGCCCAAGTGCCTGAACATCCCATTCTGGAGATATCTCCATCACAAATCAGCCTTAGAAAATTATTTTTTCCTCCTTTTTCTAATTCCTCTAACCCAAAGGCTTAGTCTTGCTCGTCCAGTGATGCTCTCATTCATGAATCCCTATTTTAAACTTGTTTCCAAGTAACATGTGGTCATAAGGATGCCAGTTTCAACTCAGGGAGCCACAGAATGTCAGAGCAGGGCTTCATTTTATAGAGAAGGATCCTGAGGACTAGAAAGAATGGGTGAACTAATTGGGTGCGGTTGCTCACACCCGTAATCTCAGCACTTTGGGAGGCAGAGGTGAGAGGATTGCCTGAGTTCAAGGATTAGAGATCAGCCTGGGCAACTTGGCGAGACCTCATCTACTCAAAAAATCAAAAAATTAGCCGGGCATGGTGGCACGCGCCTGTAGTTCCAGCTACTTGGAAGGCTAAGGCAGAAGGATAATCTGAGACCAGCAGGTCAAGGCCGAGGTGGCCATGATGTACCACTGCACTCCAGCCTGGGTGGCAGAGTGAGACTCGGACTAAAAAAAAATAAAAAAAAAGAAAGAATGAATGAATGAATGAATGAGTGAACTGCCAGAGTCATCTAATGAGTGATAGAACTGGAACTAGAACCCAGGGACTACAACTGGAAATACAACCAACTCAAGGATTTGACCATGACTTTGCTCTTCGCAAGGGCCTTCTCTAAGAAGTAGGTTGGAGCAGGGCTAGGAATCAATGTGGGACAATTATGTTTTTTCTCTCCCCTCCATCATTTTCTATTCCCTCTTCCCTCTGTAGTCCACTGAATAGCCTTTTTTTTCCTTTTTCGCACTTTCTTTCTTTCCCCATCCTATGACTGACCTGGTTCTTTTCCCTGTCCCCCGGCTCGGTCTTCTCTCTCCCGACCTCTTTCTGTTTGCTCACTTGTGTCAATCTCTCCTCTTCTCACCCTTTCTCCCCAACACCTCTTCCTGTAGGTTTCCTCTTTTGACTCCACTTATTCTCAACAGCTCTGATTCTTATCTCCTTTGAGGATTTTGAGACCACGGTCCAGGAGGGAGAACACTTGGGTTTGGACACTCAGTAGCATATCCCTCTACTCAGTCTCACTTTTCCCTGTAAACTAGGAGACTGACTAAACAAGCTGCCCAGAGAATGTGAGTTAGAACCTAGGTGTTCTAGGTCTTGGTGTTAAAGATAGGATTGGAAGGATGGTCACAGCTGATGCAGGTGCAGTGAGGAAAGAAAGAACAAAGGGCTTGGGAGTGAGAGCTCTGGAAAGGGCACTCAGGATAATGCCTGAGATAAGAGAGACTGAGTCTTAAATATTAACTCCTAGACACATATATGGAGATCTTCGAGGATACAGATAATTTCCTCTCTTTTTTTTTTGAGTTGGAGTCTCACTCCGTCACCCAGACTGCAGTGCAGTAGCCGCTCCCGGCCACCGCAGCCTCGATCCGCTGGGCTCCGGTGATCCTTTCTGCCTCAGCCTTCCAAGTAGCTGGAACTACAGGCGCGCGCTACCACGCCCAGCTAATTTTTTTGATGTACTGTAGAGTTGAGGTCTCACCAAGTTGCCCAGGCGGGTCTCAAACCCGCGGGCTCAGGAAATTCACTCACTTCGGCCTCCCAAAGCACGGGATTACAGGCTGAGCCACCGAGCCCAGATGATAATTTACTCTCTAATACAGATGGGAAAATAGCCCAGGGCTGCAGAACAAGATTTGGTCCTCAACCTCCAAGTGGCTTCATGTCACCTGGAGATGCACTTTGACAGAGTTGCCGGTGGCACCAATGGATTACAGAGGGACTCGGGATGTTTCAGGTCTCTCTGAGGAGCAGGAAGGAGAGAAACATTTAGTCTATTCCTTTGCTTCTGAGAAGAATTATGCCTAATCTGGTTCATATAAAGACAACAGAATGGCTCTGGTCACAGGCCACAGCCCCCAGAGTGTCAGAGCTTGAAGGCTCTTATATAGCACATCTAATCCAGAGGTTCCTAGCTACACTGGTATCTCCTAGAGAGTGTCTTAAAATAGGGATTCCTTAGCCCCACCCAAAATCTAGAGTTTCCAAGGATGAGAATATATTTATTTTAACAAGCACACCTGGTACACAGGCAAGTCTGGAAACCCCTAAACTCTCTCCAGTCACAGATCAGGAAGCTATGGTTAGAGGTCCCACAGCTAGTTATGGGCAGAGGCAGAACTAGAAGCAAGTTTTCCTCCCAGCACAACACTCTGGTGCACCTAGAAACTACTCTGGCCCATTATGCAGGCAGAGAACAAGGAATAAAATTCAAACCCAACTCTTTCCAAGGAACTCTCATAACTCTCTCCCTGTTACCAGGGGTTTTTGACTCCCCACTAGTCTTGGCCAACCCTCATTTTGCAGCCCTCAACAATTTGCTAATGAGTCTGTGATAAAGCTTGGCTACTCCAATTCTCTCCCTTCCCTTATTGGGGGTGGGGCTCTCTTCTGAGGGGTGGCTAGGGTCAGCACTCCTGGCCCTGCGTAGCTAAGAGGTTCCTCATATAAAGGGGCGACTGACACAGCCAAAAGAAAAACTGCAAGAATCAAAGAGGGCAAGCTAGAGAGAATCAGGAGGTGGGAGCCCTGTAGAGCTGCTTTTAATCAGGGTGGATAGGCATCTGGAGGGCAGAGTTAAGGTAGGCAAGACAGAGCTTGAGCAGAGGCTAGTCAGAGCCTCCAGGCCCTTACCGTGGGCAGGATAGAGTGGCAGTCCTCTGTCTGCGAGCTATGCCTCCCGAGCTCTGCGATGCCTTCCACTGTGGGATGAGGAAGCTCAGCCTGGCTCCTTTTCTCCTTGGCTCCTTTTTGCTCTCGCTTTCCTCCTTCCCTCTGCTACTGCCGCTTGCTGCTGTGACTGGCAGAGTTATAGCCGGAGAGAAGGAGTAGGGTGGGGAGAGGTGTGGGCTCTCTTCTCAGTCCAGCCCATCCAACTCTTAAAGGCCCAGGACACTGGTCCAACGTGAGGGAGTAGTGGGGGTGGGAGGGGAGAAAAGGATTAAGGGCACCATGTCTCCAGGGAGGAGGAGCTTGGCTGTTCTTCATCTTGATGCCAGCCCTCATTGACCCCAATCCCACTGCAGCTCTCAAAGTGAAACCCAAGGATTGTCTGAGTTGCAGTGCTCTGTGAATCACCGCTTTTCATTCTGGTCCGTCTCTGCATGTAATGCGGCTGTCTTTGTCCTTATTTCTTCTGGCTGCTTTCCACAGCGTCAGTTTCCACTGGCCTCCTCCTGTGTCCCTGAGTCCTCAGGGCCTTGCAGGGCACTCAGTCTAGCACTGTCACACAGGGAAAGAAAGAAATAGATGGGAAAGGAAGAAGACAGGAGAAAGGGAGGAAAGGAATGATACAGTGTAGAGGGACAGATGGGTTTGTATCTATGTATATTTTAGGCACTTGCTAAATATTGAAAGAATGCACATATCAATGTGTGAGACAATTCATTTGTTCTTTAATACCCATTCCTTCCATGAGCATTTGTTCAGGACCTCCAGGCCACGGGTCATAGCCCTCAGAATAAAGGCAGCACCTTCAGGACACACGCACATGTTTATAATAGTGTATGTAGAGATGAAGCAGCCTCATAGTGTGTAAGAATCCAGATCAAAGAGAGAAGCACAAGACTGGAAACACACTAGCAAAGGAAAGTAATGAGCACCTTACAAGGGTGAATGGACAGGAAGCTAAAGAAGCCAAGACTGGGGAAAAGGGTTCAAATTAGGAGAGAAATCGGGGACTACAAAAAGGGTTCAAATTAGGAGAGAAATAGGGGACTACTTTATGATGACTCTATACTTCACAGTGCGAAAACACAGCCCAGGGAAGTTTAGGTAATGTCCTGGACTTACAAATGTCAGCAGCAGAGACAACCAGCCCCTTGCATGCTCACAAGCACTGTGAGTTGGGATCACTTTTGCTCTGCTTTGGGAAGACTGTGGGGTATGGGTCTTTCTGGACCAGTGGACTGTAAGTCAGCTGAGGGCATAGGGTACAGCCCTGTACTTGGAATTTTGTGGGACCCTTTTCCAGTGAGGTGCTATCTTAATCATAGACACAGAGGGAATTGCACGAAATGATGTGTTTTCAAGTGTGCTGAGATCTGGCTACCTCTCATTTCCCCAAACACCCCTCAACTGCCTAATAGTCTACCATTAGCGATTATTTATAGCTACACACTTTTTAGTCCCATTAAAATAAAATCCTCCTAAGTGATTACCACAAAAGTCAAGATAGTGGTTATTTTGGGGAGAAGGGAGGAATTATGATGAGATGGGACACATAGCTGGCTTCTGGAATAGCTGGCCAAGTTTATGTCTAGTCCTGAGTGCTAACAAGGGTCTTCACTTTATAATTTATTGAGCTATATGTTTTCTTTGCGTAGTTTTCTATATCTGTGTTAACTTTTGAAGGCTTAATGGTTTTAAATAATTTTATACATACGTTGAGTTGACTACTTCTTTACTGAGAGCAGGTTTTGATAGAGGAGGAAGATTATGAAGGGAGGGGAAGCATTAAGAAGGAGGCCATTCATGGAGAATAGGAAGACGAAGGGGCATCACATTTTTTTTTTTTTTTTTTTGAGTTGGAGTCTCACTCCGTCGCCCAGACTGGAGTGCAGTGGCATGCTCCTGGCTACCGCAGCCTCAACCCGCTGGGCTCCGGCGATCCCTCCGCCTTAGCCTTCCAAGTAGCCGGAGTTACAGGTGCGTACTACCATGCCCGGCTAATTTTTGATTTATTGTAGAGATGAGGTCTCACCAAGTTGCCCGGGTGGGTCTCAAAAGCACGGGATTACAGGCTGAGCCACAGAGCCCGGCCTGGGACATCACATTTTAAACTATGCTGACTTCAGATTTGACATAATAGAGGCCCCGTCTCACATGCTTGTCTTGCTCCCCCATTTCTACTTCCCCAACACCACTGTTTTATTTTTCTAAGCTCCACCCTCCACCTTCACACTCCCCTCTCCTCTTCCATGTCCCAGGATTATATCATCTTTCTGAGTCACTATTTGCATCAATGTTGCCCAACTTCCTCCCCTTCTGGGTGATCTGTGAGGTATTACTATTCACTCTGGATTTTCTTCTTTTTTTTTTTTTTTTTT